CCGCCGTTACCATGGTCAGCCGGGAACAGCGGGACCGCCGGGGACTGTGGGCCGTCTTTTTATAACTCTCGTCATGGGGGTATATTGCCATAGTTGCCACGCTTGGCTAGCGAGTTGGCAACCGCAGTTTTTTTTTATTGTAATTTGATGTTATCAGAAACAGGCTGCTGTTCATCTTCCACCTCAGTTTCGCTCTGTCGCCTCTTACGACACCCACGGGAAGATATGGGGTCGTGGTAATTCTTACCCGCCACTGCACGGGAATATTACAATACTACAAATTATTAAATGTAAATTAATAAACCTAAGTGATATTATTTGATAAAATTGCTTTTATTTTTAATAAAGTGCTTATGCTTTTTATATTGTATTGTATGATATTATTAAATAGAATCTCCTCATTTTGACCTATAGGTGTCGTCTTGTCAAATGTCAAAAAGAGTTGAGACGCTTTTTCAGATAATTTAAAATTTTGTTTATACCTGAACTAATGAATGGCTTGGCTTGATAAAAGTGAAAAAAATTCAAACTATTGGATAGAACGAGTTCGAGCATTGGACTATTGAAGGACTGGTAATTATATCAGTGATGTTGGTCATGATGTTTTTATTGAAGCTGTAAATACACTATATTAAAGCTCTACTCTAAATAGCGATGTATAATTACTGAAGACGTTTTGGTAAAAGAGAGACTTAATAACACTTATGAAGGTTTTATTACAATCATCCACATAAGATTTAGGTCTTAGATCACGATATTAAGCAATCGAATTATTGCTCTCATATTCTTAATCGCTTCGAAAATAGAGTATTATTTCTCGAATATACTTTTGTGTCAAGACTTAAGACGGTGAAGATAATGGGTATTTTCTAGTAATTTCTGTTAGTTACGTTAGTATGAAACGTCGTATTTATAACTAACTGAATTTGTTTTTAATATTAGGTTTAATTATTATACACGCAATGTTGCCAGATTTTAAGAATTTGCTGAATTATAACAATTCATAAATAATGATTTCTTATATTTACGCGAACACTACACATTGAATAAAAAAAGTCCACCGTGACCCCGTGACGGTGCTGGAAAGCACCCGAAACGTCGGGAATTAATAAAAATAAGTAAATTAAACGCGACAAAATCCGTAAAAGTAGTTTTATTCAATTCATAAATATTTATATATATTAATAATATGATGTTTTAGATTTTGTGGTTACGTCTTAGCAATAATTGTGTGCATTTTGGATCGGACTGAGTGTTTGTTCGACTTACGACTAGATAAGCAAAATATAGTTAATGACGAATGGTACATCACATTATTTTGCCCCCAGTGTCTTTGAAAATGTAAAGGAAAAACAACCAAGAAGTCGCATCCTACTCGTATTGCACACACATGACATTGACAATACTTTAAAAATCAATAAATAAATATACTTAAAACCCACAATGTAATTATTATTCGATCATTGATAACTTTCCGAGAAATTGTGCAATTGTATTACCAGTTTTCTGGCTGATCGGAGCATCAAGGTCGTAGTAGACGGTGCTTGCTCCGATTACAAGCCTATTAACGCTGGTGATCGTCAAGGCTGTGTGCTATCACCAACGCTGTTTCTTCTGCATATCACCAATTGCAAACCGGTAACATTCATAGCTGTGCGGTCGACAGCACTGGTGATGCTTTATATGCCGGCCGTGCAAATATTTCTCGCGAAAACGTCGCCGAGTACCGGAACAAACTTGTGTCTGAAGTCGAGATTTTGTTGATCAAAGTCTCCGATTGGGGGCGACTAAATCTAGTCCAGTTCAATCTCCAAAAGGCGCAAGTTTGCGCGTTTACCGCTAAAAGAAACCGCTTTGTCGTGGCTCCACATTTTTAGGGTACTGCCCTTGTTGTGTCAGCCAGTATCGGAAACCTCGGCTTCGACATATCGAATGACGTACAGTTTCGTGGTCACTTGGAAGAGAAGGCCAAATTGGCCTCTAAAAAGCTTGGCGTCCTCAGGAGAGCGGGACAGTATTTCATGCCGGCACACCGCCTGCAACTTTATAAGGCGCAGGTTTGGCCGCTCATGGAATACTGTTCCCATCTTTGGGCCGGTGCTCCCCAGTGCCAGCTTCTTCCATTTGATCACATCCAGCGCAGCGCAGAGCGGTTCGGATCGTCGGTGACCGAGCTCTTTCTGATTGGCTTGCCTCATTGGTGGTGGGAGGAGATGTTGCGTCTCTTTACGTATTCTTCCGTATCTACCACGGAGAGTTTTCAGAGGAATTGTTCGGAATAATTCTAGCCGCTCAACATTACCATCACGGATCGCAACAGAAATCGAACTACCATCCGTACCTTTTGGATGATTGGCGGTTCACTACTGTGCGATTTAGAAGAAGTTTTCTTCCTCGCACAAATTCCTTTTTGAATTAAATACCACCAGCAATATTTTTTCCGGACCGATACGACTTAGGGACCTTCAAGAAAAGAGCCTACTCTTTTTTAAAAAGCCAGCAACGCATCTGCAATTCCCCTGGAATTGCAGTTTTTCATGGGCGGCGGAAGTCACTTACCACCAGGTGAGCCGTATACTCGTTTGCTCCATCTTATATAAAAAAATATTACATTCCTTTTTGAATTTTTAATTAAAAATAATTAGGTATGATATATTTATAACAGTACAAGTATCTGATTACCTAGAATTAATATACGACGAACGATTGGTAAAGATACTTTTTTCATAGAAGATGGGGCAAAAAACGAGCGATTACGTACCACTCACCTGATGGTAAATGTTGACCGCCTTCCATGAACAGCTGCAACACCAGGGCACTTGCCGGCCTCAAAAATGAGTAAGCCTTTTCTTAAAGGTGCTTAAGTCGTATCAGTCCAGAAAAATCAGCGGTGGTAAGCGATTACACAAAGATGTTGTGTGAGGAATAAAACTCCTAGTAAAACGTGAAATGTTAGTAATTGTAACCTATTAGTGATTATGAAATACTGGGCTCACCGTAAGGTTTGTACCTGTTTTATTTCGAATATAGTTAGGTGAAAAACTATAGAATGTAGCAAAGAACTAAAAACAGACAGTTTTACTACTTTAAGTCCAATCTCACACAAAATCAACCTGTATTAAAATAAAGTAATTTTTTAGTTTATTTTGAAGATAGTGAGAGTGAATGAGTGAGTAATTTCTAAAATGGGTTTTATATTTAATTATTAAAATCATTAATATTCTTTGTTTTTTTCTTCATTTAATAAAATTATTTCAAAGTATACCATTAGGTTACTTGGGAAATTTTCCGGTCTTGTAAAAAAGTAGAAAAATGACGTTAATAATACGAAGATAATAATAGCTATTTTTAAATAAACATCGAATAAAAAATACTCTATTCTACAGTAGGAAAACTTATTTAAAATTAAAATAAAAGAAGCGACAGTACCCATTTGCCCAGGTGAACTGTGTGGTCAGTTTGTCGTTGGTATTACTCTATAAAAATACAGTTAAGAGTGTGAACTTACTTTAGTCAATAAACTTTTAAATAAAAATAAAAATAATCAATGTAATTGCCTAGCCTACCTTAGATCTTATCGCATATTACGTTAATTCAGGCACAGATAGTAGGGTAGGTATATTTGGTATGTATAGGTACGTTTTTTTATTTCTATTTACTGCGCACTGGTTATCGTAGTCACCGAGGTAAAGGTGAAGTAGAAAAAAAAGCAAAGTTAGTTTATTTGTTAAAATATGTATCAATCAAGTTGGTAAATAATATGCTAACCAAAAAGTTTTACCATTTCTAACGTAGCGTAACATTTGAATTATTAAACTTACGTAAATACAAAAATCATGTATAAATAATATTAATAGCATTTACACAATTGCAAATTGATATTATATAAAACAAAACAATTGATAATTAAAACGTGTAGTGGTGATATGAGTATATTCACCATCAGAACAGGCACCGTCCGAGTACGGAATCAGAGTACGAATCATATCCAACTGCTGGAAGTGACGTTAAATCCCCGAAACTGTCGCTTCTGCCGTTCACCGCTGCTTTGGGAAACATTTTCTAGTTACTGGACCGGAAAGGGTACGGCATCTACATCAATAGAAAGTAATCATCCCTGGAGGAAATTAGCATTATACTTAATGAGCTCAATAGTGTCTCACAAAGGATATGTCCTAATACAAACTGTTACGGTAGTTGCTGGGAGTACTATGCTCGAAGTTGTTGACAAGTATGTTTATTTAGGACAAATTGTCCGACTTTGACCGTGAGTCCAATCGACAAATTCAACTCGCCTTTTTTCGATGGGACTTTCACTGGCAGATAGCTGAAGTTATAAGGAGTAACTTAGGCTACTTTTATTTTAGAAAAATATTTAGGGATCCGCGTAAAAAAAATTAAATCAAAGTACACGCGAGCGAATTCGCGGGATACAGCTAGTTTATTAATAATAATTATGATCCATCACACATACAACTGCAGGACTTCAAGATACTGTAAGTTCATACTGCGTAGATTGGAACAAAAATTAATAATTTTAATCTGTAGGTAGCCGTGGTTAACTATGACATTGGGACGTCAAACACCTCAGTCCCCTGTGACCATGGTAGCTGTGAAGTGCTCGAAACGGGAATATAATATAAGTTAATATACGCGATAAAATCCGTAAAACTCGTTTTATTTAAATGTGTAATATTCGCGTAAATATAACAAATCAGAAATAATTTCATTAAAAAATACATAGCATCGATAGAAATAGATTGTGTCGTCCAAAATTACGCAGAAAAAAGTTATGAGGTAACACACATAAAAAGAAAAAAAAACAAGACTCCTCTTTTTGAAGTTGGTAGAAAGCAAAAAGAAAGTGAAATTTGAAAATATTTCAGATAGTCACGTACAGCCTTTGTTATAATAATTGATTATTGATTACGAAAATTAGTTTTATTTTATTAAATTAATAGGCAATTATCTTTATAACTGTGTCTTTCTACTGTCATTTACTGAATAGAGAGAGAGAGAGAGAGGGAGAGAGAGAGACAGAGAGAGAGAGAGAGAGAGAGAGAAACTTTAACTTTAGTTAAATTGATGTCTATCCTTTGTAAAGCCATTACTAAGTCTTTAGTCACATAATGGTAGTACAGTTTAATATTAATAATCATCAACATTACAGCCCTTCACAACTCCACTGCATAGGCCTCCCCCTAGCTATATGGCTAGCCCATTTCTACTTTAGCTTACTAATCCTTTGGACCATGTCGGTTACTGTGGTTCTACTGCAAATATCCTCATTTCTTAGTTTATCCCGCAGAGAAACCCCGAACATTCTGGCAGCTTTTTCTGGCAAATATATATCTGGCAAAGACTTTGGAGCCCTGGTTCTGCTGCTGTATTAAATGCGTGAGTCCCGGTGCATGCACTTGGAGATCTATCTGTTCAGTTACTTGTATGTTGTCAAATCTGCTGAAGACTGTAGCTTTATTTTTAGTGATTGGAAAGTTTTTGTATTCTTCTGCGGCGGGTCTTGCAGGACATAGCTCCGACCGCATGGACAGTTTCCATAAGCTTTTCATTCATATCGTCCTTCACTAAACGTGTCTCCCAGGTCACCTGATTCCCAGAAATGAGGTGATCGCTATCAAGGAATGCATGACTTTAGAGATATTCTCATACTTTTTCTCCACCTCATCGAGATGTGCCGTGGTTGGTGCGTAAATCTGTATGACCTTCAGCGAATGCCGTATGGTGATTCTGAGTATAAAGAACTCGTAGACTCACTCCTTATATTTACAACCTACTTAACGGGAGACTTGTGTACGATAAATCCGACACCTCCTTGGGAGGGATAGTCATTCTCCCGGTGATAGAACAAGTTGCTGGATTTAAGGATTACCGTGTCCTCCCACTCACTTCGGACCTCAGATGATCCTATAATATTCCAGCGCAACTTGTCTATCTGTATTTCCAGCTCCAGCATCTTCTCGTCAGTCCTCAGCGTGCGTGTGTTATATTTTGCTAGGTCGAGTCATCTTCGGTGACGACTGAACCTCTGCCGGAGATTCTTAGCACCCCCTGCCCCGCCGTTACCATGGTCAGCCGGGAACTGCGGGGCCGCCGGCGACTGTGGGCCGTCTTTTTATAACTCTCGTCATGGGGGGTATATTGCCATAGTTGCCACGCTTGGCTGGCGAGTTGGCAACCGCAGTTTTTTTTCAATTGTAATTTGATGTTATAAGAAACAGGCTGCTGTCCATCTTCCACCTCAGTTTCGCTCTGTCGCCTCTTACGGCACCCACGGGAAGATATGGGGTCGTGGTAATTCTTACCCGCCACTGCACGGGAATATTATAATACTACAAATTATTAAATGTAAATTAATAAACCTAAGTGATATTATTTGATAAAATTGCTTTTATTTTTAATAAGGCGCTTATGCATTTTTATATTGTATTGTATGATATTGTTATATAGAATCTCCTCATTTTGACCTATAGGAGTCGTCTTGCCAAATGTCAAAAAGAGTTGAGACGCTTTTTCAGATAATTTAAAATTTCGTTTATACCTGAACTAATGAATGGCTTGGCTTGGTAAAAGTGAAAAAAATTCAAACTATTGGAAAGAACAAGTGCGAGCATTGGACTATTGAAGGACTGGTAATTATATCAGTGATGTTGGTCATGATGTTTTCATTGAAGCTGTAAATACACTATATTAAAGCTCTATTCTAAATAGTGATGTATAATTACTGAAGACGTTTTGGTAAAAGAGAGACTTAATAACACTTATGAAGGTTTTATTACAATCATCCACATAAGATTAAGTTCTTAGATCACGATATCAAGCAATCGAATTATTGCTCTCATATTCTTAATCGCTTCGAAAATAGAGTATTATTTCTCGAATATACTTTTGTGTCAAGACTTAAGACGGTGAAGATAATGGGTATTTTCTAGTAATTTCTGTTAGTTACGTTAGTATGAAGCGTCGTATTTATAACTAACTGAATTTGTTTTTAATATTAGGTTTAATTATTTTACACGCAATGTTGCCAGATTTTAAGAATTTGCTGAATTATAACAATTCATAAATAATGATTTCTTATATTTACGCGAACACTACACATTGAATAAAAAAAGTCCCCCGTGACCATGGGTGCTGGAAAGCACCAGAAACGTCGGGAATTAATAAAAATAAGTAAATTAAACGCGACAAAATCCGTAAAAGTAGTTTTATTCAATTCATAAATATTTATATATATTAATAATATGATGTTTTAGTTTTTTTGGTTACGTCTTAGCAATAATTGTGTGCATTTTGGATCGGACTGAGTATTTGGTCGACTAACCACTAGATAAGCAAAAGATAGTTAATGACGAATGGTACATCACATTATTTTGTCCCCAGTGTCTTTGAAAATGTAAAGGAAAAACAACCAAGAAGTCGCATCCTACTCGTATTGCACACACATGACATTGACAATACTTAAAAAATCAATAAATAAATATACTTAAAACCCACAATGTAATTATTATTCGATCTTTGATAACTTTCCGAGAAATTGTGCAATTGTATTACCAGTTTTCTGGCTGATCGGAGCATCAAGGTCGTAGTAGACGGTACTTGCTCCGATTACAAGCCTATTAACGCTGGTGATCGTCAAGGCTGTGTGCTATCACCAACGCTGTTTCTTCTGCATATCACCAATTGCAAACCGGTAACATTCATAGCTGTGCGGTCGACAGCACTGGTGATGCTTTATATGCCGGCCGTGCAAATATTTCTCGCGAAAACGTCGCCGAGTACCGGAAACAACTTGTGTCTGAAGTCAAGATTTTGTTGAATAAAGTCTCCGATTGGGGGGGACTAAATCTAGTCCAGTTCAATCCCCAAAAGGCGCAAGCTTGCGCGTTTACCGCTAAAATGAACCCCTTTGTTGTGGCTCCACATTTTTAGGGCACTGCCCTTGTTGTGTCAGCCAGTATCGGAAACCTCGGCGTCGACATATCGAATGACATACAGTTTCGTGGTCACTTGGAAGAGAAGGCTAAATTGGCCTCTAAAAAGCTTGGCGTCCTCAGGAGAGCGGGACAGTATTTCATGCCGGCACACCGCCTGCAACTTTACAAGGCGCAGGTTCGGTCGCTCATACTTTTCCCATCTTTGGGCCCGGGCTCCCCAGTGCCAGCTTCTTCCATTTTACCACATCCAGCGCAGCGCAGAGCGGTTCGGATCGTTGGCGACCGAGCTCTTTCTGATTGGTTTGACTCATTGGTGGTGGAAAGAGATGTTGCGTCTCTTTGCGTATTCTACCGTATCTACCACGGAGAGTGTTCAGAGGAATTGTTCGGAATAATTCTAGCCGCTCAACATTACCATCACACATCGCAACAGAAATCGAACTACCATCCGTACCTTCTGGATGATTGGCGCTTCACTACTGTGCGATTTAGAAGAAGTTTTCTTCCTCGTACAACTTCTTTGTTGAATTAAATACCACCAGCAATAATTTTTCCGGACCGATACGACTTAGTGACCTTCTAGTAAAGAGCCTACTCTTTTTTAAAAAGCCAGAAACGCATCTGCAATTCCCCTGGAATTGGAGTTTTGCATGGGCGGCGGGAGTCACTTACCATCATTGACGGCTCCGTGGCGCAGTGTTCGAATCCCGCACGGAATAAGTATTTGTATGGCCTACAAATAATTGTTCCGGGTCTGGATGTTTGTCCTTGTGAAATTTGTGTTTGTAAACTGCCTCCACGATACAGGAGAAAATCCTAGTGTGGGGTTAACGTTTCTTTAAAAGAAAAAAAAAGAAAAGAAAAGAAATCAGGTGAGCCGCATGCTCGTTTACTCCATTTTATATAAAAAATATTACATTCCTTTTTGAATTTTTAATTAAAAATAATTAGGTATGGTATATTTATAATAGTACAAGTATCTGGTTACCTAGCATTAATATACGGCGAACGATTGGTAAAGATACTTTTTTCATAGATGGGGCAAAAAAAAAAAACGAGCGGTTACGTACGACTCACCTGATGGTAAATGTCGACCGCCTTCCTTGAACAGCTCCAGGGCACTCCGGCCTCAAAAATGAGTAAGCCTTTTCTAGAAGGTGCTTAAGTCGTATCAGTCCAGAAAAATCAGCAGTGGTAAGCGATTACACAAAGATATCGTGCGAGGAATAAAACTCCTAGTAAAAGTTGAAATGTTAGTAATTGTAACGTATTAGTGATTATGAAATACTGGGCTCATCGTACGGTTTGTACTTGTTTTATTTCGAATATAGTTAGGTAAAAAACTAAAAAAGGTAGCAAAGGACTAAAAACAGACAGTTTTACTACTTTAAGTCCAATCTCACACAAAATCAACCTGTTTTAAAATAAAGTAATTTTTTTGTTTATTTTGAAGATAGTGAGAGTGAATGAATGAGGAATTTCTAAAATTGGTTTCATAATTAATTATTAAAATCATTAATTTTCTTTGTTTTTTTTTTTATTTGATAACATTATTTCAAAGTATACCATAAGGTTACTTGGGAAATTTTCCGGTCTTGTAAAAAAGTAGAAAAATTACGTTAATAATACGAAGATAATAATAGCTATTTTTAAATAAACATCGAATAAAAAATAGTCTATTCTATGGTAGGAAAACTTATTTAAAATTAAAATAAAAAAAGCGACAGTTCCCATTTGCCCAGGTGAACTGTGTGGTCAGTTTGTCGTTGGTATTACTCTATAAAAATACAGTTAAGAGTGTGAACTTACTTTAGTCAATAAACTTTTAAATAAAAATAAAAATAATCAATGTACTTGCCTAGCCTACCTTAGATCTTATCGCATATTACGTTAATTCAGGCACAGATAGTAGGGTAGGTATATTTGGTATGTATAGGTACGTTTTTTTATTTCTATTTACTGCGCACTGGTTATCGTAGTCACCGAGGTAAAGGTGAAGAAGAAAAAAAAGCAAAGTTAGTTTATTTGTTAAAATATGTATCAATCAAGTTGGTAAATAATATGCTAACCAATAAGTTTTACCATTTCTAACGTAGCGTAACATTTGAATTATTAAACTTACGTAAATACAAAAATCATGTATAAATAATATTAATAGCATTTACACAATTGCAAATTGATATTATATAAAACAAAACAATTGATAATTAAAACGTGTAGTGGTGATATGAGTATATTCACCATCAGAACAGGCACCGTCCGAGTACGGAATCAGAGTACGAATCATATCCAACTGCTGGAAGTGACGTTAAATCCCCGAAACTGTCGCTTCTGCCGTTCACCGCTGCTTTGGGAAACGTTTTCTAGTTACTGGACCGGAAAGGGTACGGCATCTACATCAATAGAAAGTAATCATCCCTGGAGGAAATTAGCATTATACTTAATGAGCTCAATAGTGTCTCACAAAGGATATGTCCTAATACAAACTGTTACGGTAGTTGCTGGGAGTACTATGCTCGAAGTTGTTGACAAGTATGTTTATTTAGGACAAATTGTCCGACTTTGACCGTGAGCCCAATCGACGAATTCAACTCGCCTTTTTTCGATGGGACTTTCACTGGCAGATAGCTGAAGTTATAAGGAGTAACTTAGGCTACTTTTATTTTAGAAAAATATTTAGGGTTCCGCGTAAAAAAAATTTAAATCAAAGTACACGCGAGCGAATTCGCGGGATACAGCTAGTTTATTAATAATAACTATGATCCATCACACATTCAACTGCAGGACTTCAAGATACTGTAAGTTCATACTGCGTAGATTGGAACAAAAATTAATAATTTTAATCTGTAGGTAGCCGTGATTAACTATGACATTGGGACGTCAAACACCTCAGTCCCCTGTGACCATGGTAGCTGTGAAGTGCTCGAAACGGGAATATAATATAAGTTAATATACGCGATAAAATCCGTAAAACTCGTTTTATTTAAATGTGTAATATTCGCGTAAATATAACAAATCAGAAATAATTTCATTAAAAAATACATAGCATCGATAGAAATAGATTGTGTCGTCCAAAATTACGCAGAAAAAAGTTATGAGGTAACACACATAAAAAGAAAAAAAACAAGACTCCTCTTTTTGAAGTTGGTAGATAGCAAAAAGAAAGTTAAATTTGAAAATATTGCAGATAGTCACATACAGCCTTTGTTATAATAATTGATTATTGATTACGAAAATTAGTTTTATTTTATTAAATTAATAGGCAATTATCTTTATAACTGTGTCTTTCTACTGTCATTTACTGAATAGAGAGAGAGAGAGAGAGAGAGAGGGAGAGAGAGAGACAGAGAGAGAGAGAGAGAGAGAGAGAGACTTTAACTTTGGTTAAATTGATGTCTATCCTTTGTAAAGCCATTACTAAGTCTTTAGTCACATAATGGTAGTACAGTTTAATATTAATAATCATCAACATTACAGCCCTCCACAACTCCACTGCATAGGCCTCCCCCTAGCTATATGGCTAGCCCATTTCTACTTTAGCTTACTAATCCCTTGGACCATGTCGGTTACTGTGGTTCTACTGCAAATATCCTCATTTCTTAGTTTATCCCGCAGAGAAACCCCGAACATTCTGGCAACTTTTTCTGGCAAATATATATCTGGCAAAGACTTTGGAGCCCTGGTTCTGCTTGATCGCTTCTTCAATACGAGCTGTATTAAATGCGTGAGTCCCGGTGCATGCACTTGGAGATCTATCTATTCAGTTACTTGTATGCTGTCAAATCTGCTGAAGACTGCAGCTTTATTTTTAGTGATTGGAAAGTTTTTGTATTCTTCTGCGGCGGGTCTTGCAGGACATAGCTCCGACGCATGGACAGTTTCCATAAGCTTTTCATTCATATCGTCCTTCACTAAACGTGTCTCCCAGGTCACCTGATTCCCAGAAATGAGGTGATCGCTATCAAGGAATGCATGACTTTAGAGATATTCTCATACTTTTTCTCCACCTCATCGAGATGTGCCGTGGTTGGTGCGTAAACCTGTATGACCTTCAGCGAATGCCGTATGGTGATTCTGAGTATAAAGAACTCGTAGACTCACTCCTTATATTTACAACCTACTTAACGGGAGACTTGTGTACGATAAATCCGACACCTCCTTGGGAGGGATAGTCGTTCTCCCGGTGATAGAACAAGTTGCTGGATTTAAGGATTACCGTGTCCTCCCACTCACTTCGGACCTCAGATGATCCTATAATATTCCAGCGCAACTTGTCTATCTGTATTTCCAGCTCCAGCATCTTCTCGTCAGTCCTCAGCGTACGTGTGTTATATTTTGCTAGGTCGAGTCATCTTCGGTGGCGACTGAACCTCTGCCGGAGATTCTTAGCACCCCCTGCCCCGCCGTTACCATGGTCAGCCGGGAACAGCGGGACCGCCGGGGACTGTGGGCCGTCTTTTTATAACTCTCGTCATGGGGGTATATTGCCATAGTTGCCACGCTTGGCTAGCGAGTTGGCAACCGCAGTTTTTTTTTATTGTAATTTGATGTTATCAGAAACAGGCTGCTGTTCATCTTCCACCTCAGTTTCGCTCTGTCGCCTCTTACGACACCCACGGGAAGATATGGGGTCGTGGTAATTCTTACCCGCCACTGCACGGGAATATTACAATACTACAAATTATTAAATGTAAATTAATAAACCTAAGTGATATTATTTGATAAAATTGCTTTTATTTTTAATAAAGTGCTTATGCTTTTTATATTGTATTGTATGATATTATTAAATAGAATCTCCTCATTTTGACCTATAGGTGCCAATAGGTGTCGTCTTGCCAAATGTCAAAAAGAGTTGAGACGCTTTTTCAGATAATTTAAAATTTTGTTTATACCTGAACTAATGAATGGCTTGGCTTGATAAAAGTGAAAAAAATTCAAACTATTGGATAGAACGAGTTCGAGCATTGGACTATTGAAGGACTGGTAATTATATCAGTGATGTTGTTCATGATGTTTTTATTGAAGCTGTAAATACACTATATTAAAGCTCTACTCTAAATAGCGATGTATAATTACTGAAGACGTTTTGGTAAAAGAGAGACTTAATAACACTTATGAAGGTTTTATTACAATCATCCACATAAGATTAAGGTCTTAGATCACGATATTAAGCAATCGAATTATTGCTCTCATATTCTTAATTGCTTCGAAAATAGAGTATTATTTCTCGAATATACTTTTGTGTCAAGACTTAAGACGGTGAAGATAATGGGTATTTTCTAGTAATTTCTGTTAGTTACGTTAGTATGAAGCGTCGTATTTATAACTAACTGAATTTGTTTTTAATATTAGGTTTAATTATTTTACACGCAATGTTGCCAGATTTTAAGAATTTGCTGAATTATAACAATTCATAAATAATGATTTCTTATATTTACGCGAACACTACACATTGAATAAAAAAAGTCCCCCGTGACCATGGGTGCTGGAAAGCACCCGAAACGTCGGGAATTAATAAAAATAAGTAAATTAAACGCGACAAAATCCGTAAAAGTAGTTTTATTCAATTCATAAATATTTATATATATTAATAATATGATGTTTTAGATTTTTTGGTTACGTCTTAGCAATAATTGTGTGCATTTTGGATCGGACTGAGTGTTTGTTCGACTTACCACTAGATAAGCAAAATATAGTTAATGACGAATGGTACATCACATTATTTTGCCCCCAGTGTCTTTGAAAATGTAAAGGAAAAACAACCAAGAAGTCGCATCCTACTCGTATTGCACACACATGACATTGACAATACTTTAAAAATCAATAAATAAATATACTTAAAACCCACAATGTAATTATTATTCGATCTTTGATAACTTTCCGAGAAATTGTGCAATTGTATTACCAGTTTTCTGGCTGATCGGAGCATCAAGGTCGTAGTAGACGTTGCTTGCTCCGATTACAAGCCTATTAACGCTAGTGATCGTCAAGGCTGTGTGCTATCACCAACGCTGTTTCTTCTGCATATCACCAATTGCAAACCGGTAACATTCATAGCTGTGCGGTCGACAGCACTGGTGATGCTTTATATGCCGGCCGTGCAAATATTTCTCGCGAAAACGTCGCCGAGTACCGGAACAAACTTGTGTCTGAAGTCGAGATTTTGTTGATCAAAGTCTCCGATTGGGGGCGACTAAATCTAGTCCAGTTCAATCTCCAAAAGGCGCAAGTTTGCGCGTTTACCGCTAAAAGGAACCGCTTTGTCGTGGCTCCACATTTTTAGGGCACTGCCCTTGTTGTGTCAGCCAGTATCGGAGACCTCGGCTTCGACATATCGAATGACATACAGTTTCGTGGTCACTTGGAAGAGAAGGCTAAATTGGCCTCTAAAAAGCTTGGCGTCCTCAGGAGAGCGGGACAGTATTTCATGCCGGCACACCGCCTGCAACTTTACAAGGCGCAGGTTCGGTCGCTCATACTTTTCCCATCTTTGGGCCCGGGCTCCCCAGTGCCAGCTTCTTCCATTTTACCACATCCAGCGCACGCAGAGCGGTTCGGATCGTCGGCGACCGAGCTCTTTCTGATTGGCTTGCCTCATTGGTGGTGGGAGGAGATGTTGCGTCTCTTTACGTATTCTTCCGTATCTACCACGGAGAGTTTTCAGAGGAATTGTTCGGAATAATTCTAGCCGCTCAACATTACCATCACGGATCGCAACAGAAATCGAACTACCATCCGTACCTTTTGGATGATTGGCGGTTCACTACTGTGCGATTTAGAAGAAGTTTTCTTCCTCGCACAAATTCCTTGTTGAATTAAATACCACCAGCAATATTTTTTCCGGACCGATACGACTTAGGGACCTTCAAGAAAAGAGCCTACTCTTTTTTAAAAAGCCAGCAACGCATCTGCAATTCCCCTGGAATTGCAGTTTTTCATGGGTGGCGGAAGTCACTTACCACCAGGTGAGCCGTATACTCGTTTGCTCCATCTTATATAAAAAAATATTACATTCCTTTTTGAATTTTTAATTAAAAATAATTAGGTATGATATATTTATAATAGTACAAGTATCTGATTACCTAGCATTAATATACGACGAACGATTGGTAAAGATACTTTTTTCATAGAAGATGGGGCAAAAAACGAGCGATTACGTACCACTCACCTGATGGTAAATGTTGACCGCCTTCCATGAACAGCTGCAACACCAGGGCACTTGCCGGCCTCAAAAATGAGTAAGCCTTTTCTTAAAGGTGCTTAAGTCGTATCAGTCCAGAAAAATCAGCGGTGGTAAGCGATTACACAAAGATGTTGTGTGAGGAATAAAACTCCTAGTAAAACGTGAAATGTTAGTAATTGTAACCTATTAGTGATTATGAAATACTGGGCTCATCGTAAGGTTTGTACCTGTTTTATTTCGAATATAGTTAGGTGAAAAACTATAGAATGTAGCAAAGAACTAAAAACAGACAGTTTTACTACTTTAAGTCCAATCTCACACAAAATCAACCTGTATTAAAATAAAGTAATTTTTTAGTTTATTTTGAAGATAGTGAGAGTGAATGAGTGAGTAATTTCTAAAATGGGTTTTATATTTAATTATTAAAATCATTAATATTCTTTGTTTTTTTCTTCATTTAATAAAATTATTTCAAAGTATACCATTAGGTTACTTGGGAAATTTTCCGGTCTTGTACAAAAAGTAGAAAAATGACGTTAATAATACGAAGATAATAATAGCTATTTTTAAATAAACATCGAATAAAAAATACTCTATTCTACAGTAGGAAAACTTATTTAAAAATAAAACAAAAGAAGCGACAGTTCCCATTTGCCCAGGTGAACTGTGTGGTCAGTTTGTCGTTTGTATTACTCTATAAAAATACAGTTAAGAGTGTGAACTTACTTTAGTCAATAAACTTTTAAATAAAAATAAAAATAATCAATGTACTTGCCTAGCCTACCTTAGATCTTATCGCATATTACGTTAATTCAGACACAGATAGTAGGGTAGGTATGTTAGGTATGTATAGGTACGTTTTTTTTTTCTATTTTCTTCGCACTGGTTATCGTAGTCACCGAGGTAAAGGTGAAGAAGAAAAAAAAAGCAAAGTTAGTTTATTTGTTAAAATATGTATCAATCAAGTTGGTAAATAATATGCTAACCAATAAGTTTTACCATTTATACCGTAGCGCAACATTTGAATGATTAAAATTGCGTAAATACAAAAATCATGTATAAATAATATTAATAGCATTTACACAATTGCAATTTGATATTATATAAACAAAACAATTGATAATTAAAACGTGTGGTGGTGATATGAGTATATTCACCATCAGAACAGGCACCATCCGAGTACGGAATCAGAGTACGAAACATATCCAACTGCTGGAAGTGACGTTATATCCCCGAAACCGTCGCTTCTGCCGT